CTTTGGGACTACGGATTGGTGTTCTGGGAGTTTTCCCTGCATATTTATGATTCGGACTACGGGACAATATCCTGGGAGATCCTCTGTACATTTACGTTTGGGACGACGGGATGATATCCTGGGAGATCCCATATTGCTATCTCTGTGTACTGAGTATATTCTGTCTGTGATTTTCCTCTTTATCGACTGTTAGGGGTTTTAATTATACTGTCGCACTTCATACTATTTTACCTTGTTATATATATAACCAATAGGGCCCTGACCTTCACTGAGAGGAACGACCATGAATACAATGGAGTCCCAGCAGACTCCACCCCACCCACACTCCCACAGTAATCAAATGCAGTTCATCATTTTGGAATTATCGAGGAGCCCAGTCCCCAAATTTTAAGAGAAATTTTAGGTCACTACTCAACTATCATCGACTGGAGACCCATGTTCAGAGTCATGGTCACTTGAAGGAAGATTTTGGGTTCACTCACTTAGCAGAAGCACCCGCTCAAGGACAATCTGGAGGAATAGCGTTGCTATGGCAAGGAGACTTTCTCAACCTTGAACAAATTGAAGTAAACACAGAAGCCATTCATTCCATTGTCCAGGTACTACCTAACCCTAAACGATGGTTATTTTCTGTTATTTACGCCAAAAATAATAGACATGCACGACACTGTTTATGGGAATAGTTAAAAAAACTTGCATGATAATACTATTATGCCTTGGTTAATTGGGGGGGATTTTAATGAAGTTACAAGAGCTAATGAAAAGTATGGTGGAAATCCCATTAATAACTCTAGATGTGATAATTTCATTAGATGTCTTGACTATTGTAATTTAATGGACTTAGATTTTAGAGGAAGTCGATATACTTGGACTAATAAACGTAATTTAGCTAATAGAATTCTTAAACGACTTGATAGATTTGTAGGTAATTATGATTGGCTCACATTATTTTCTGAGGCTAATGTTCAACACCTCCCTAGAACTCATTCGGATCAGTGCCCAATACTACTTAATTTAAAGCCTAAATTTAGACGTAAAAATATATTCCGATTTGAAACAATTTGGACATCCCACCTTTCATTCATTAACCTTATTACTAATAATTGGACTCCTATCAAAATCTTCTAACATTTGGGAACCTTTTTAAAAAACAAAAAATAATCCTAGCAAGACTAAGTGGTATACAATCTTCTCCCAAGTACACTACCAGCCATTTCCTTCAATTACTTGAATAGGACTTATTAACTGAGTTTAATCACTTACTCAGACTATAAGAGAATTTTTGGCGACTAAAATCAAGGATAAATTGGCTACAACAGGGAGATGCCAATACGAATTTTTTCCACCTAAATACCCTCCAATGGAGGAGACGAAATAGAATCACAGCCCTCAAGGACTTAGGGGGAAATTGGGTCACGGAGCAACCACAAGTTGACTCCCTAATAATGAATTACTATGATTCACTCTTTACCACTACGCATACACAATCCACTATTAAAATAATCAGCCACGATACTCACACTCTTACGAATACTGACCATTTATATCTGTCCAGACCTTTATCTATAAAGGAAATATACCAAACAATTCACTCTTTCCAACCTCTCAAAGCGCCAGGGCCAGATGGACTTCACCCTTATTTTTATCAAAAATATTGGCCTCAACTCTCTACATCTGTTGTCTCCTTTTGTAATGAAGTATTTCATTTTGGGAAATTACCAATCCAGGCAAATGCCACTTACCCATGTCTAATACCAAAAATCAGGCACCCTTCCATAATTATCCAATATCGCCCAATTGGGCTATGCAACACTATCTACAAAATTATAACCAAGTTAATTGTACAACACATCAAGCCTTTAATAAATAAATTAATTAGTCCTGAACAATCCGCTTTCCTAAAAGGAAGACGAGTTGCTGATAACGTTATCATCGTTCAAGAAATCCTTCACAACTTTAGGAAAAAGAAAGGTAAAATTGCAAATTTGTAAATAAAATTAGACCTAGAAAAAGCTTTCAATAAAATGGAATGGGGGTTCATCAAAGAAACCTTACATTTCTTTAATTTTCCCACTAAAATTATTTCTATCATTATGTCTTGTATAACAACTACTTTCATCTCAATCCTTATAAACGAACACCCCTTTCCATTTTTTCAACCAACTAGGGGTATTAGACAAGGTGATCCGTTATCCCCTTACATCTTCATATTATGTCTAGAACGTCTCTCAAGGCAAATACACCAATTGGTGGATTATCAAAAATGGAAAGCAATCAAACTCTCCCATACCGGGCCCCTAATATCTCATCTGTTTTTTGCGAACGATATCACCTTAACGTCAAACATAACTACTTCAACTGTGCACTCCATAATAGATACACTAACAACCTTCACTCAGAAGTCTGGCCAAAGTATAAATTTTCAAAAATCCAAAATCTTTTAATCAAAAAATACTTCCCCATCAGACAAACACTTTGTCTTATCATCTTTTAACACGGGGGAAGGTACCAACTTTGCTAAATACTTGGGATTACCCTTATTTGTAAAGCGACCCAGCTCAAATGACTGCCAATACATACTGGATAACTTCAAAACAAGATTATCAGGGTGGAAATCACAATTTCTTTCCATGGTAGGTCGGACTACATTAATTAATTCTACTTTAAACACCTTACCAAACCATGTAATGCAATACATAAAAATTCCTTCAGAAGTCATCCACAGAATGAATCGTTACCAAAGAAACTTTCTCTAGGGCACTACTGAGCATAAAAAACGAATACACTTAGTAAAATGGGAAGTAGTTCAAAAACCCAAAAAGAACAGGGGACTAGGCATTCAAAATTTAGCTATTAAGAATAATGCATTATTAAAAAATCTTGCTTGGTGGCTATTTAAAAATACTAATTCCCTTTGGGCATCCATACTATTAAACATTTATATGCATCGAAAAGCAGGAGCTCATGGTTCCTCCACCTGGAGAAATATTTTACTGGGATGGAACCTATGCCAAACCGGCCTAGTGTGGAATATTGCATGGGGCACACATATAAATATGTGGCACGAACCATGGATAGGGCGAAATATAACTCTTCGAAAATTAGTCCATGGACCTCTACAACTCCGTGAAGCTCCATGCACCCTTAGCAACTATATTTCCCATAACGCAATCGACACATCCTCCTTATCTTTCTCTCTAGCAGACAACATTACTTCCCAAATAAAAAAAATATTTATACCAACATTAACAACCCCACAGGCAATTGATACAATCATCTGGGGACAAACTCCAAATGGTCAGTTTACTGTCAAATCTCTATACACAGCTCTCCAAGAACCAGCTCCGCTATACCATCATCATTGGCTTTGGAAACTGATTTTACCACAAAAAATAATCCACTTTCTTTGGTTAGTTTCACATCAACGCTTAACAACTGCCTCGTACCTATATCATATAAAGGTTACCTTATCCAATACTTGTACTCTATGCTTCCAAAGTATTGAAATAATTAACCATCTATTATTCAACTACCTACACACAAATGTCATATGGGCTCAACTTGGGTTGGCACCCTGCATCCAACATTGTAACACGCACTTCTTAACACCAATTCAAGCCATCCACTACCTAATCCAATATGCAAAAGAATTACCTTATAACTTACCCTCAGCCACTCTTATTCCACACAGTGTGGCACATCTCGAAGTTAAGGAACCACTATGTATTTAATCGCCAAAACACTAAACCACCACCCTCAACCCCACAAATAATCTCCCAAACATCGGAATTCTATTACCTTACTAATCACAACACAAAAACTCAAAAAAATAAGCACACATGTACTCCAATGCATATTAAATGGCACCCCCCCAGCAGTGGGCACAATTAAGCTTAACACAAATGGAGCGGCTAAAGCAACACTTCTATCAATGGTCTTGGAGGAATTTTCCGAAATTCAGAGGGTCATTGTTTAATGGGGTTCATGGGTTCATCTTCAACAGGCAATTCCACATTCATGGAATTAAAAGCCTTACTACAAGGTTTACAACTTGTAAGACAACATCAACTCACTGGAAGTAAATGTGGATTCTACTAAGGTAATAACAATGCTCAATAATGATAATCGTCACTACTCATCCTCTCTAATGGAATGCAGGTACTTACTCCAGCAGCTGGGTAATTCGCCCATCACCCATATATACATGGAGCAAAACTATGCAACACATTATCTAGCTCAACAAGGCTCAATTACCCAGGCTCAGGACTGCACAACTATCTTCACTCAGCCACCAGACTTTTTGTTATCTCAACTATTAGCTAATCAAGAAGGGACTGTCTACAGGCGTTTAGTCAAACCCTACAATACAACGGACTTGTTCTACAACCCACCCACTTTGCCAAATGACCAATCACCGAGTCAATATTTTGAAAACTCCTTTTGTAATAATGTGCAAGTACCTCCTTGTAATGTCACTACTTAATTAATATAAGTTCTTTTGGTGACCAAAAAAAAGACTACATTCCAAGGACGGCAGATTTTCTTTATTTATAAATGGGACAAAGGGCCGTTAGTTTAAGTTCGAATCTTCTATCATAGGTAATATTAATTCATTGGTAGTAGTATTTTATTGGTACTATAAAATAAAATAAACATATAATAGGTAATGTATTTCTTGTTAATGACAGGACAAGGGAGGAAACGTGGTAAAAGTATGATAAGTTAGTGGATTTTTTAAAGTGATTGATATAAGGTAAAAATTTAATTGATTTTAAAGTTTTAAATATTCGGATTTTTTATTTAGTTTAAATGAGGAAGGATTTAATACATAAAATATAGCAATTAATTTTTAAGTGTTAAATATTAGAAAAATGATTTAAATGACTATTTTATCTAGTTCAAAATTAATTTGTGCCAAGGACATTTTGCTAGGTGTAATGATGCTTTTAATATAATATAGTGTAGATAGATAGGTATATATTTTGGAATCACTTTGATCACCTCAACTAATTCATCACACAATTAAATCTATTTAGTAGCGGTGGAATTGCAAGTAAAAATTCGGAATCTTTGTCTTGTTCATTATTCGATCCTAATCCAGGATATCTAGCATTTGTTTGCAAAATCAAGTCAACCCCATCTCTAGTTTCTTCTAGATTGCTCCCTGTTTCATCTAGTCGCAGCTATTCCCTTTCTGGTGAGTTCCATCTCTGAGCATCTAATTTGGCATTTTCGATGGACTAGTAGACATTTTTTATTTATTTTTAAATTATACTTGGGTCTTCATTTTTCTTTTGTTTAGATTCGTTGATATCCTAATGGCTTAAGGGAATGGAATCTAAGTACCTATAGAAAGGTTCAAGACCATAAGGGAAGGGGGAACATGCACCATCTCTTTGAATCAAACCTTCCCAGGGTTGATTATTTCCCTTTTTCTAAATATACAACCCCTGGCTTCAGATTAGCCGAGTTTCTATTGGAAACAGCCTCTCTATCCTCACAAGTTAGGGGTAAGGTCTGCGTACACACTACCTGGTATGTTGTTGTTGTTGGCTTCAGATAAGCTTTCATTGTGAATGGATATTGCTTCAATTAGTCTCTACTTTCCAGCTCGATATGAACAAGATAAGCTGGTAGGTGGATAGGCTTCTGTCTGACCAGTAGGACATGCCCTTCTCCCCTTAGCCTAGAGCAGTCACAAAAATCCTTAACAACTTGTAATTATTCCCTTCCTCTGAGCAACTACATAATCCCAATCTATGGAAAATGCTTGGGACTGCATCTACTATTGTAACGGCGGGATCTTTTTTGCTAGCTCCATTGTCTTTACTTCTTGTTGTAGCTTTTGATAAGAGTATTGAAGAATTAGCTAGAGTTATTTCCTGCATTCAATTCCTTAATATGAATGAAGTGTATTTGGGGTCGGTAATGCCATTTGGAAATATGTTATAGCATAAGTAAAATAGATTCTAATGTTTGTCCCACCTCTTTTTTGTAACATGGATTATCTGATCTAGTTTCAAACATGGACTACACTGGAGGTCCAACTTTGTTTCCCTTGCATCGCTGCAAAACAATTCACCTGGTTGGTTCAAATTTTCCTGAATTATTTTGTTGTACTTCGTATTGAAGATTTCAAGCAGTTATGACTTTGTTTTGAAGGACAGTCGAGGTTGACTTCCCTATTGGATTTTGCTCACAATTTTGAAGGCTTTGTGGTCTTATTAAAACCATATATCTAGGTGAGGCATGGTCAGGGCATTCACAATGTTGAAGGAGACAAGAATTACAAAGCATACCTGTCTCCTGAATATTTTGATGCATACCTTACTACACTTGGTTGGCAACAGGTGGGAGAGCATCCCCGATTTTTTCACTTAATCTAAATACTCCTCATCCTTACTCTTGATGCACCTCGATTCTTATTTCTTATATATCTTTGGCTCTTGTATCAGGTTGATAATTTGCGTAAACACGTTCATGCAAGTGGCCTCTTTAAGAGAATTGAGTTAGTTGTCACGTCTCCTCTGCTAAGGTATCAAATTTTCTCCCTTTGAATGTGACACATGATTTATTTTGCCTTTTACAACCCAATCCAAACAAGCAAAAGCAGTAGGGACATGGCAGACAAAACTTGGTTATTCCCTTTAGGATGATTTACAATCTTAGTAGCTATTAGGGTGACCCACTAGGAAGCCCTCGTGTTGCACACCTTTTTTGTAATCCAAGGAAATGAGGAGATTGACGAGGATGTCACACATTGTATTAGAGCGGGGTTGGAAGCTCGCATCCGATGTTTTGTGTAGTAAGAATGTGCCGCCAAAACATAAAGATAAGTTCTACAGAGTGGTGGTTAGACTGACTATGTTGTATGGGGCAGAATATTGGTTAGTCAAGAACTCCCATGTCCAGAAGATGAAAGTAGCAGAAATGAGGATGTTGAGATGGATGTGTGGGTATATCAGGATAGATAAAATTAGGAATGAAAATATTCTGGATAAGGTAGGAGTGAACCCCGTGGAGGACGAGATGCGAGAAGCGATGTTAAGATGGTTCGAGCATGTGAAGAGGAGGGGCACATATGCCACAATAAGGAGGTGCGAGAGGTTGGCCGGTCTTAGGAGAGGTAGAAGTAGGCCAAAAAGTATTGGGAAGAGGTGATTAGGTAAGATATGGCGCTACTTCAACTTACCAAGGACATGACCTGGAGAGTGTGGAGGTCGAGAATTAGGGTAGAAGGTTAGTAGGTAGTCGAACATTTTTCTTTTCCATAGCAGTAGTATTAGTGTTAGTCTTGTATTTTCTTATTCTTAGATTTCTACTACTACCTGTTGTTTCTTTCGCTTTGATTTTCTTATTATCTTGTTGTTGATACTGCTTGTTGCTATTGCTTTTTTTTTTTATTATCTTTTCTTGAGCCGAGGGTCTATTGGAAACCGCCTCTCTACCTTCTCAAGGTAGGGGTAAGGTCTGGGTATATACTACCCTCCCCAGACTGTGGGATACACTGGGTTTGTTGTTGTTGTTGTAGCTATTACGGAACTTTATGAGAACTTACGGTTGACTTTACAGGACAATGCAAACAGCAGCTGGAGTATTTGGTGGTGGTGGCTACAAAGACAGGATGGATATACTACCATTGATGGTGGCGAACACAGGATATAGTGACCGCTCTGCAATTTCTAGTCTGGATTGCCCTCCTATCATCGCGCATGAGCTTTGTCGTGAACACTTGGTATGTCAGTTGAACACCTTCCTGCTTGTCAAGATACTTTGTTCTCTTTTCTTTAGTTGTCTTCCATCTTATGTAGAGCTTAAGTCTGTATCACACCTGCAGAAAGGTTGAAATATTCCTGAGCAAATGTGTCAAAAGTTAAATCTCCACTGCCAGCATGCAAATACGCTAGATGGAAAAGTAACTATTTCATTAATCTTAAGAATGAGATATCTTGGGTATTTGAAATATGAGAAAGTATATGCTGCAAATGGAGTTGGAGAGTTGACTTCTGCAGTATTGGTAAAATCGGCAGTAAATTTGTATCTCTCTGTTTTAGTTACCATTTTAATAATGTTGAGTATATAGTGAACTTGCTCATTCTATGAGTTGAGTTGTGAAGGAGAGAAATAGAAGAGCATTTCAGGATGATGTATTAGGCAAAATATATGTTAATTAGTCTTTGGAACACTGTAGGCACACATTTGTTGTCACTTCTTATCTGCAAACTTTGGGATGTATTAGTGCTTACACACAGAGGCGGATCCAGAATTTAAAATTTATGGGTTCAGATTCACAATTCTACTATATCTCAGCTAATTTAATGAGTTCAAAATTTATTATTTGTACATATTTAATGATTTTTTTGGGCAAAAATACAGGGTATGAGCGAAAGCTATAGGTTCAATTGAACCCATAGCTTCTACACTAGATACGCCTCTGCTTACACATATATGTATATACTTATAAATATCCAGCTAGAAGTAATCTGAGTCCAGTTTATAGTCAGTTAGATCTATGTTCTTTTCTAGTTCACCTGTTTTTCTCAAGCTCATAATCAGCTCTCATCCTACTTGTTCTTCCTATTCTTGAGATTAGGCTGTTGTCATTTTACTATATAAGAATGTTGTAGAAACTTTCTGTTTCTTTTCCACTCTTGTTCTCAATCTGCTGGGTCACAGAATACAACAATTGTAACTTTACATTATAAAAAGAGATGTTGTCTTAACTGTGTCAATTATGATCTGTGACATCTAGTGGTTCAAATTTCTGTATTTATGAATAGATAACTGATGCTTGATCTATTATGCTTTCAGTTATTTAACTTCTACCTAATATAATTTGGTGGCAGGGTGTTCATCCTTGTGATAGCAGAAGGAGCATAAGTGAATATCAGTGTCTCTTTCCTGCAATTGATCTTTCACTGGCAAGTATTTAACAATTTATACTTCTTTCATGTCTTTAATGGTAGTACACGTGCTTGGTATGACTATAATATGTCATTTCAAATGATATCCCTTATCATGGACCTAATGAATATGTGGTATTTTGTTCAGATTGAAAGTGACGAGGATACCCTGTGGAAGGCCAATGTTAGGGAGACAAAGGAAGAAGTCATGGCTAGGGGAATAAAATTCCTGAACTGGTTAGGTTCAACCTCCTCCTCCCAGCCCCCCCCCANTAAAGAAGGGAATGTCTTTTAAGTTAATGGAATGTTTGTGTCTGTTCTTGGTTGTAGAAATTGCTGGACTTTGCAAGACAATATATTTTGCACATGAAAAACAGGTCTTTAATGCTTCTGTTAAAGTAAAAGAAATTCATATTGTAATAAGGAAATTGACAAGAACTACCACAAGCTGTAATTGATGCAGTTAAAAGAGCGTAGAGTCGAAGAAGAGATGGAATTTCTCCTTTTGCCTTATTTCTGATCCAATGATTGCTAGGAAAGAGAAATCTTTTTGAAAAGGTAAGTAATGACTTCTAAGAAAGAGTTAAATTGTTTTCTCAAAAGGATGTAGGGTATATGTAAATGGACTATATCAAACTTAGACATGGCAAGATTTGAGTCAACAAGATCTTATAGGTAAGCAGCAGCGAAACTGGCCCTAGTACTATATGCGGACTGCCACTGAAGGAAAGTTGATGGGGAGTTCCTCTATTTATTGTCAAAGGAAGACATTGAGAACTGGAAATTCTTTGTGGAGACTTGTTTAGTTAGTTGTCTCGACCACCTAGTAGGATGAATCAATGGAGTCATGGAATGGGCAGCTAGGGCAGGGTGGATAACAGCCGACATCAAGGAGTGTAGGTTAAGTAATCTATTGACATCATTTCGTATGTATTCCGTCAAAATAATCTTATATACAGGTGGTAGATGGTGACTTGTTTCTTATCATTGGATATATGGATGTTCACCATCCAACTTAAGGTAACAACTAACAAGTGACATCCAGATTACACTTTCATATAAGACTATTTCGACGGAATACATAAAAATGATATCAGCGCATTACTTGTGGTGCAGGTGCATGGAACTACTTATCAGGAGGAGGAATTTGTCATGGCCTTGACTGTCATATCTAGGGTAAAACTTTTTGTTAAAGAAAGGGAGAGATCCCCACCTAATGGAAGTTTTCCATGTCCTGTATAACTATCCTCCGGAAGGGGCACAAAAATGGTCCGTAACCCCAAATCCTTCAGGAACACTAACAAAGAGGAAGGCTGGAGGAAAAGTTGGGGAAGAGGCCGTCTTAAATGCACATGATGACTGACGGCAGTCTAGTGTCAGGACAGGTGAAAGCAAGTGGAAGATGACACTAGACCTAGGTTTCTTGGGCCAGGATTTATGGACATTAAATCAGTCCCTCCTTAGGCCAAAAGTGCATAGCCCATAATTATGGAGATACTGACAAACTCAAAGTTGTGATAGATTTCAGCCCAATGACAATAAGGTTAGGGGAAACACAGCTAGGAGGCCCAAGGAAGAAATCTAAAAATTGACTAGTAGGCCAGCTGAGCCTACATCTTACGAGCCCTTTGTTGAAGGAAGCGGTTGTTGCTTCACTTAAGAAAATGGTTGTCCAACCTAGGCACGACAAGCCGAGGCTCGTGTCATGTCCCAAACTGTCCCTAGACGTGATTGTCACACAACACTCCGCACCTGCCAGGCGAACTATATCCCATATAATTAACCATTTATACAACCACTAAGAGAAAATAAGTGCAGGTCTAAAAGCATTATTAATAAGTAAATGCATAATAATTATCAACCAAATCCATAATCTATTAATAGAAAATCAACGATTACTTAAGTAATAAAACTCTAGCCCAAATCTCACACTAAGATAATCGAGCATCTAATAAAGTTATATGTGTTTAACTGGCGGGCATGCAAATCCAAAGCAAAGGAAATAATTGGCATAAACTAGATAATGCTGAAAAGATGACCTCCATGAACAATGCGGTGGCTCACCTTAGCAACAGAATCAACCCTAACGAATTCATCAACCACTAGTTCTGTCGTCTGCAACAATATCTACATAGAGATGCAGGTAAATAGTGAGTTATACGTAAATATAACCCTGTAAGATCCTTGACCCGCCCCTTTGAGTACTCCTGGAACAAGTGTTAGAAAATACAAATACAACAAGGACAAAATAATATGTGCAAAAATCATATGCATTATAATATATCAAATGCGTATAATTAAAATATTCAACAAGAGCCTACCACTTCTGATACAATTTTACACTAAGACCTGTCATATTCGGGGTGGAGGAAATTAACCAAACACCCCAACACTATGCTCCAAATCTCTCACGGCGGCATACATAATGCCCCAAGTATATTACAGCAGCAAAGAAATTAATTGAACACTCCAATGTTGTGGCACGAAGCCATGCCACACAACCGATCAATCATTAAATTATTTCAACATTTTAAATAAAATAGTATATTCACGGCCAGTCACAGACTATCGATTCTGCCAAGCACACGCTCGCCCCAACACATGGATCAGGCAGACAAAATATAGTTTAAAAGTAAGCTTTGAAAAGCAAGCACCAAAGCTTAAAGTCTCACTTATCTCACTTCCGCAGCCTTGCGACGTCTAGAAGACCAACCATTCTATCCAAATACTAATTAACACGTCCTAATTAGTCTAGGTGAATAATTTCCACAATTTTAGGACAAGTCAAAATCAAAGTCCACCCTCGGTCCAATTAAATAAAAATTTGTACACAAATAAATGCCAAATGAGGCACTTTAGTAGTGAACCAAAATGCCAAAACAGTGGCTTCAGTCATACCACCAAGCCATCATCCTTACTTTAATCATGGCATCATGATGATTCCTATATTCCGATGTACTTAGTAACAGTATTTGTGGCAATGTGAAATAAGAGGCCTCGTTTTCAAATTCCCCATCTCATATCTTATCGATACAAGCTATCAATCATTATCTCATCATTAGAACCTAATCATTAGTTAATCATCACCCCTCACGTTATTACCCAAATCATTGGGTAGTCATTATTCTTCCTAAATTTATAAGAACTAAGAATCAATACTACATTTTTTTCACCCATAGCAGATTAGCCTTTCATATCAAATTCCACTAACTCATTATCATTTCCATATTATTTACCCCACAATCATTGGCCTAATCATTATGTCTCCCACTCACATCACCATCATATCATTGATTCATTATTGGCATCATTAATACTTCTTAGATAAAACACACACACACACTCTCTCTCTCTATATGTGTGTAAAATTATATCCTTGGGTCTAGGAAGAAAAAGAAGCATACTCATAGAGGAATTCACTGGTGACGTGCTTGGGCAGTGAAAATTTCATAGCTTGAGGTATTGTAATTTCATATGCTAATGGGTCAAAGAAATTACAATACCTTAAGTTCTGAAATTTTCAGTGCCCTAACTCCTTAACATCACCAGTGAATTTCGCTACGAGTTTGCTTCTTTTCTTCCAAAATCCAAGGAAATAAATTAACCTATTTTCTACTCCTTAAGCCACTATGATTAATAAAACTTTCATTCTCATCTTCTATTTTTCCAAATTGGTGGTAAAGCTTGCTCTGGGCACTTGTGTAGTTTTCAAAATTTGATTCTTCTAGTGCCCCTATCTATCATTTAACCTTGAGGGAGTGAAGGAGCATTATGTATTTACGGTTTCTTTCTATTAACTATCTTGCATCACTCTTTTTTTTCCCCTTATAATTCCTTTTTCTGGTGCCCCTTTTTCTTTTGGTTTGGCTCTTGTTTTGTTGTTTGGGGGGGGGGAGGTAAGTATAGAGCTAGCTATATATGGTGTAGTATGGTCAGGCTGCGAAAGGAGTGATTTGTTAGTTTACCTATTTTTCTGACTAGTCTCTTGGTTAATAGTGATGTTTTAAGAGTGTCAAGGAATGTGGAATAGTTTGCATTCTAATTTTATTTTTTTTTTGGGGGG